TGGCAATATTCCCTTAACCATCAATCATGAAAGATTCTTGTGAGCTGCATGAAATACTCCTTCCCTAGGAGCAGGCTGTGGGTAACGCGTGCTTAACTCCCCCAAGTCCCAAACATAGCTCCTATTGTAGCTGAACAATCAATATATCCCACAGAATCTCTAGTCTTCCATACTGCATTATTCACAGGAATTGGCACGATTCGACTGCTGTAGATTCTTAAAAACTGGCTGAATGTAAAACAATACATTTAAAAAAATTCCCCAAATCCTAAAGAGTTTTTTTTCCTAATGTATCCATTAGCAAATGGTTACTAGAATGTAAATTAATATAGTTAGTGTCTCTCTTACACACACACACTCAGACAGGCATTCCCTTTCTAAAGTCTTCTCAATTTTGTATCTCCGAACTATTGCAAACACTATGAAAGAGAAAAAAACCAGAGAAACCATGCTTTAACCATGGCTTGTCTGCATTGTATATATATAGGCAGATCTCTGCAGCACAGAATGGAGCCACAAAATCTCAGCTCCCCGCCGCCAAATCGTATGTCAAGATGTGACAGAACAGCTGGCTTCAAGTTCTTTGGGTTTGACCTTCCCATCTAGGGAATATGGCAAATAATGACATAAAGCTAGATATTTATCAAACGCAGCAGTTTTTAAATGTGGTCGCTTACCTTTTTATATTGCTTTTTCTCTTGAACAGAACACATTTATATACTTAAAAAGCATTTGCCTGAGGCAGCCTTAGTATTATTTATGGATATTTTATTGTGGTCACTACATTATTTCTCTTACTCTTAGCTCTGGAAGAAACTGTCCTATAACAGCATAGAGGTTTTTGCCTGTCTCAATTTTTTTTCACGTCAGAAAGAAAAATATGTCTTGCCTGTTTCTTTTGCCACAGAAAATGAGATATCCAGCAACCTGTTATGCTGGGAGTAGGAATTATGCCTTGGTAAAACATGTTCAATACATGAATCCACTAGTACTTTGGTAGAAAGTTCTTGATTGCATTATAGATTCAACCTTGACATAAGACACACAGAGACACAATTGACATGAAAGTCAAGGGGAAATGTGTATGAGAAGGCTGAACTGGGCTCCAGGGAACAGACACGCTTCCACTGTAGCAGAGGAACTCCAGAGCTCTGCTTACATTTGATTTGTAGTAGAGAAAGAGGGGAAAAAAAAAGTATTAAAATAAAAGAACTGCAGTTATGTAAATATTTTAGGAAAGAGCAGATTAGAAAAAGAAGGAATATTTCTTCATTTAGATCACATAGACTACTTACGTTCTTTAGTATTCAACATAATCATTTAATTTGTGGCCTTAGAAATTAAAACCAATTTAAAATTTATTGTTACTTGACAAAAGAGTGGAAAGAGGAGTGAGAAACACAGTGCAGCCTATGGCAGTTTTCTGGAAATGCAAAGGAAGGGTGCACCTAGACTTCCAGACTCGATTCTTTTCTAGTCCAGCTGGACTCTTCTCAGCGACCCAGAGCAAAAGGACAAGGGACAACAGTCACAAGTTCCATCAAGGAATGTTCCAATCAGACACAAGGACAAAAATTTTACACAGTAAGCATAGTCAACTACTACAACAGAGGCTGTGGAAAATGCGTGCCAGGAGTCATCCAGAACTCAACTCGTTAAGGTTTGATTTCACTTTGAAGTCCTCTTTCTTGGAGCAGGAGGACATGGTGACTTACAAGAGCCCTTTCCACCTGAACTAATTCTATGCTTGTATCACCTATTCCTAGCAAAATCTTTATTTAAAACTAAACACACTGACAACGCCTTGCTGAGGTCAATAGCAATTCTTCTTCTGGATAACAAAGCACTGATAACAGGTCTGACCATCTTGTGTCAAAATTCCCTCTTACCTAAAAATCCATTAACTAGCATCATTGTGCAGTTTTTGCTTACCTGCTCAGTTTGACAGCAAAATCTGTCTGGCTGACAAAGTTGATTTTCAATGGCAAAACACAGTTGTTGCAGATTTTTTTATCTGATTTTGTTTCACTGCATGTAACTCAGAAGCTCAAGTTCATTTAGGCATTAACCACAAGAAATAATGATTCTTCAAACAGTCTCTGAGTACCTCAGACAAGCTATTAATGAGACTTACTTTGTGCAAAGGCTTCCTGCACATCTCCTCCCACCCCAGTCAGAGAGTCCTGAGGTGCGTGGGTTGGGGTGGAGCAGGCAGAGGCAGACCTGATGGGCATTGGAATTGGTCGACTGATAGTGTGGCTGGGTGAGGAACGTGGGGAGCCTGCCCCTTGAGTCTGCAAAACAATCACAAGGGGTTAAACAAGTCTTGCAAGAGCCTTCACCTGCTGTCCTTGTCACCCATCCCTTAGCTTAAAGGCATCATGCTGTTTGTAATCAGTTGGGTAATGTTAACTTTGCTAAAGGAAATATACTGAAGTCAGTTGTTAGCAGATAGCAACACTTCTATGTAGAAAAACAGCAAGTAGGAAAATATGAGTCGAGATCTGACTTCCTTTAAGCATGGGAAAATGTCAGGCAGCTAAATTTAAAAAGTCTGAGTTAATAAAGACCAAAGTATAGACCTTCTCTCTGCCCTCTTCCCTCTCTCATTCCCCCAGTTCACATGCATGTTTGATGAAACATAGCCCGTTCAGGCTGTGAGAAGGGGAAAGATGCTGGCATCAACGTGGCTTCCAGCCTGGGCAAGGGACTGAAACACCCCCTTTCATCAGAGCGCTGCCGTGAGACCTGATCACGGCCCTGTCCTCCGCATCCCTGCAGAAGTTTTTCATGGTACATGCAGCCTCTCAGTCACATAAAGTCTGACACTTGCAATAAATAATATAGCTTTCTGCTTTTTATTCGGAGCCAGAGAACTATTTTAAGCTGCTATTAAATCATACACTATTAAATTGTTCACTCTACAGGATATACTCAGGCACTCCCAAAACACTGTGGGGATTGGGCAATATAAATTCCTGCTATGGGTTCAGCTGCTGGAAGTGAAAATGTTTTAACACCAGTCATATAAAATGTCATGCTGTTAGCACCTCACCGTTAGTATCACTTAGCTGAAATTCAAGCAGACTTTATAAAATAGTCATTTTTACAAATGCAGTTGGGTGAGTGATTCCAAGAGACACACTGCCCTTTTCATCCACTGTTTCAAAACTCCTGGGAACATGTATCCACGCAAGAAAAACAAATGCTGGAGCCCACACCAAACTGCACACGGCTTTTGACTGAAAACCTGTATTTGGTAGATGCCAGGGATGGAGGTGGCTTGAGTGCTATTACAGAGGAACTGCAACACATGCCCGTGGTTGTTTATGGTGAAAAGTAACCCGAGGACTGGTGTCTCCCTCACCCTGGGTTTATTTTGAGAGTTCAGAAGGATTTCTTAACTCTTCCCATGCCACTTCTTTTGACTCCTGTAGTGGCTGCCATTGCTGCTCTGGTACGGTTTGGCAAATATATGTTCTAAAAAAGACAAGAGTAGCCCACTGCAGGAGTGCAGCATTGCCCTTGAGATTTTTATAAATTCCTGCCCCAGACCATAAATAATGTATCAGAATACTAAGCTATTTGTTCTTTTCTCCCAGCACCCCTTTCTAAGAGACATTATCACTAGAGAGATATCAAGGGCAAATTAGGTTTATGAGGAATAAGCACATTACTGATGGGAGAACGGAGGATTTAACACTTATAATTTCTTTAATGATCAGTTTTAGAACATTTAAATGATGGATGAAAGGGAAGTCGAATATATGAGAGCCAGATGCTCTCCTGTTTCTGGAATCATCTGTACGCACTGCAGCAGAAATGCAGATCTCTAGTCCTCCAGAGGCAGGGCACAGAGCAACCTGGAGATGCTCCAAGGTCCTTGGAGGTCACACCCCTTGCACATCAAGGCAGGGGATCTGGGAGCTACAGCTATCTCCTTTCATGCCCTGACAGCGCATGTTTCATCCTCTGCGAAACAAACTTGTGAAAGAATTTCTGGTTCCCAGCTCCCTTTTTCACTTGCCCTTTTTCCTCAGCTCCCCCTTTGCCTTTGATGTTGGTTCTGGGGAACACCAACAACAGTGGGAACTTTCAGAGAAGATGAGAAAAAAATGGACAAAATTTGCTTCCTATAGTCAAGTCACATTTAAGGAATCAACTTCAGAATAGGCATTTTATTTACTAAAAATAACAGATGCCTGCCAGTACTTCTTCGCTGGAATTTTCCCACAAGAGAAATGTAAAAGCTGCTGCACACCAGTGCCTACTCTTGTGTCTGCTTTGCAGCTATGACTGAGATCTTGTGTTTATGATAAACAGTGCTCTCTTATCTGTAGCTTTCAGTGTTGGAACAAACTGTTTGAGAAGCACAGGGAGATGAAGCAGTTGGAGTCCTCTGTCCAGTAAAATCTCTCTTTTTATACTATTGGGGCAGTATCAGACAGAACTGATGAACAGCAAGCTGAAATAGGAGGGTATTAGGGAATGCCTGATTTCAGAGAGGTGAATATCTTAATTATATTTTGCTCATCTCGAGCCACCTCAGCCCAAGTTTGTGGGAACAAAGTGCTATTAGGATTGAATTCCTGCTTCGTGGTTGTCAGGAGAAACATGTTTTTCACAGGCTAGCGCTAATGGCCTGAAACCTGCTACGACGATCAGTAGCGAGTGCTTGGTAATCTCAGCAGAGAAATGGAGCACCGAATTGCCCCCAGACCTCAGCAGCCCCGCCAGCTGAGGACTAAGGCATGCTGAAAGGGGAGCTACCACGGCCACCACGGCTATGTGGATGGCTTCCGCTGTTGTGTTGCACTTGGTTGCAGCTATCGATGTTCTCATGCCTTCCAGGAAAACTTCCATGTTTAATTCACGATCCCTGGCCAATCTGCTATTGATTTTAAGTCAACCCTTGCTAGACATTCCCCACTGCCAAAAGTCATGCTTAGGATAAAATGCTTGAAATGAAAACTGGCTTTACAGGCGCTTTAGCCCATTGCTCCCTCTGCTGGAACTGAACCGGGATGACATACGGGGAAAGCCCATCTCACAGCCTCCTCAAGTGACAGGGATGTGAAGAACTTACTATCCTTTCTCAAGGAAGGGCAGTAGAGAAATAGAAAGTTCATATGCATTAGATGAATTGCCTGGCTGCTCGTTCCAATTGAATTCCTCCAGAAATTAATTTAATACTGTTTCTCTCAACAGATCATGAAATGGCATAGTGTAATGGGGATCATTTCATGGAAAATGTGCGAGTAATTCCTTAGCATCATCACCTGGTATTCAGCGAGGCTATTACTCTCGGAAGAAGAAAATCGTATCTCATAATAGCCTGAAAATGTGCTTTCACTTACACTGTCCAGTGAACATTTTATATGGTAGGGAAACTCTTGTCACGTTGGAAATTTCTTTTTTTATGAATGGAAGATCTTTCAATACTTTTATGCAGGATCAAAAAGATGGCCCTTACAGGGAGGTGATGCTTGGTCAGATTTTTTTTTTGGGTCCAACAGATGAATGCTTTACAAAAATTAGCCAAAATATTACTTTTATGAAGGTGAGCATTACCTACAAACTCTGCATGCTCTACCATAGAGAGAACACATCAGATGCGTCGCTGTACTTCTGCTGATGAAACCAGAAGGAAGCATGTTTTGTTAAAATGAAACATGTTTATTGGACTCATAAATCAGACTGCTGACAAGTGCTTTTTTTTAGCCTAATATCTTTCCAAGATCCATTTCAATACTACAAAGCTCCAAAACAATTAAATCTTTTAAAATTTATCATTAGTAATACAAATACTTGCTCTTTTTGATCTAGGGTGCAGAAGCCTAGAAACTACATTATTCTCCTGAAGACCCATGTGACTATTAGTATCAATACCAACTTTTAAAAATGTGCACACAATGCCCTGAATTTTTCTGCATAAAGTGGGATTTCAAACTCATTGTCCTCATCTAATTTAAACTCAGCTATATTTTTCTTAAACTTCCAGAACTCTTATTACATTTGCAAAATGTAATCTATGATAAAAGTGTACTTTAATTCATATTCTAGGTTGGTTTCACTACATTTGGCTGGTGGTTTCCATATCTTCCATGTTCTTATTTAGAGGAGTGAGAAAAAGATCAAGACTCCTTGTAGAAGGGTCTAGACATGAAAGCCACCCTTTCTAGAGGTCTAAGAGGTTTAATTGTGAAAATTGCTCCAAGGTACTTGAAAATAATGTGTGAAAAAATAGCAAAATATTAATCTTGGTCAAAAGAACACACACACATTTCAAGCAAAGGAAGTAAAATAAATCACAGGAACACAATCACATTTAGGAGTTAGTGAGGCCTCCAACAAGGAGGTAACTTACTACCTGTTTCAATTCTTCTTCCTAAAGAAAAAGAGGATCAGCACATGAGATTAGCCAGGAGGTAAGTAAAGAACAGAAAACAAAGCCAAATTTGGAGTACAGGGCTAAACCTACAGTTGAGATAGTTGAAGGTATGTGGCCAGGTTATGGTCCCAACTCTGCACACCTTGAAACACCAGAAACATGCAAAGCGTGCAGAAAGCTACTGTCATTTCCCACCCCAAATTCTCTTTGTCCAGGCAGCGCAATGCCAGCAGGCAGCCCTCACTGCTAGTTGTAGCACTGCAGCAGCTCTACCATAGGTTAAGTGAAAAGTATCCTGTCTACTCCCAGCTCCCCGAAATCTGCTGGCTATGTGGTGGGCTCTGCTGCGCAGGTGCCACCAATTCCTGCACTGTGGCTGCAGAAGCCTGGGCCTGAGGAGATGTAAATGATATAAGGGGTCAAACTCATCCTTTGAAGCAAATACATGTTGCAAAATGGATTTCAGTGAAATTCTTTCTGCTTTTATCAAAGCATTTTATTTTATTTGACCCAAGTTACACTGAGTTTCCATGCACTCATTTTATCTGGCATGGCCAATGATAAAACAGACTCTTATGCTATTCAGAGCACTTTCTTCCAATGTGAATTTCTGGCATCATCTGTCCTGAGGTACATCAGGTAAAATAGGGCTGGACTCTGCAAATAAAGACACGTTTTCCATCTTATCCTAGTCTGTCTTAAAAATGCACATGCTTTTTGATACCTCCATTTTTAACTGAAATCCTTTGTTGACGCACGTTTCATCTGTTTAACAAAGGCTAGTTTCTGTATTTATGAAAATGACCAAGTGTTGTTGGGGAAGCATCTCTAAGACCAGAGTTAGATGTGGTTGTCAAATGGCACACCTGAAAGGACTAGCAAAAACACTTCTGTACCGTCAGCTGGAGCAGATAACAGTGTACAGTGCCGAGTTGTTTTTCTCACGGTTATTAGTTAACTCATTTTACGTGTCGGTTTTTTTCTTTTCCTATTTTTTTTTTTTTTATGTCCTCAACAGAGAAAACACTAAAACCACCTGAAACTGGACCACAAAATATTTTGTATTTGAACATTGTCAAATGGCTGATCCAGAGATTGCGAGCCTGAAATCAGAAATACGGCCAAATCCTTCTGCAAAAAGAACAAAACAGGACTGTATTGCATCATGCTGCAATATTATTTAAAGGACTGTATTAATTCTTCAACAGTTCAGAGCCTGCCTCTAGTGTTCCATCCACTTAGCAGTAGGTGACAATGATGATGCACTGTTACTGCAGGAGCAACATCATTTGAAACCTCTGAATTGAGAGACCATGGCAAAAAATAGAAAGGGAAGGAAAAAAAGCCAAATTTTATGGGTGGAAATAGTCAAGCTCTGCACAATTTTGTGGTCGTATCTCCTGCCTCTCCTCTCTTGCTTCACTCCGCCTGTTGTCCTTGGTAGCTCCTTACCTTGAGCAGTTTCATGAGGCCTTCTAACTGAACCATCAGCTCCCTCCGGCTTTCCTGGAGAGCAGACATCCTCTGTTCCAGCTCGTCCTTCCGCTGTCTGAGAAACAAGCAGATAGGATCAGAACTTACACCTGACAGCTTCAGCAGCTTTTAACTGCATCGCTTCCCCAGCCCGACTATGAGGCGTGTGCCTATAGACTGCAGGAAAGCAAACTCACTGTGTGAATTCAGCATAGTGCTTAGAAACAGGGCTACGTGAAAGCTAGGGAGTTCCCTCATACAGAAAATATTCATGGGACTGAATACAGTGATTAGGAAAAAGAGAGACACTGGCACAGATCCTCCTCCAAAGAACAAATGAGGTTCAAACAAGTTTGTATTAAATTCCCTTGTGGGAATGCTTGGCAGCTTTTGTCTTTGGATCTCTCTAGTCAATAACCTCACTAGCCGTCAGGAGAAATGAGAGCCATGCCCTGAAGGACAGGGAATTACGGCAGGGACACTGAACACAGCGAGATAGGAGAGAAGCTAAGAGACTCCAGAAATTCAGCCAGAAAACCATGGTGATCTGCTTGTGTTTCTATTTTTTTCTCAAAGCAAGAGTAAGATTATCACATAGTGGAGATACAACTGCTTGAAAATAGCTCTTTGGACTCAGAGTCCAGTGCTGGTCCTGTGACAAGTGAATACTGAGCCACTCCAAGTGTGACAGTTTGTGCCCACATAATAAACGGGAACAGCTTTGATTCTGCACAGTTCCACGCACAGGACAGGGGTTCAGCACTTGCACATGTTGTGTGAGAGGTCCCCACATAAATACGAAATAAATTTGTTGCCTCCTGGAAGCTATGATGTAATTAACAACATTACTGTTGAAAAATATATGTATTAGGTGTATTTTATACACTACTGTGTTGCAAATAACATAAAAACACTATGTTGTTAGCCTTGTACTACCTGTAGAATAGGACAACGTAATCCTAAGTGGAAAAGCACCAGAGTCAACAAGACTAAGTATATTTCCTGTATTTAGGGAACTATGAAACCCTGATTTTAAGCCTTCTCTGTAAGTGAGCAGTTATTAATATAAACAACGCTGATTTCTACAAGATTGCTCATGTGTGCTCTCTCTCACCTATATAATAGGATCATATAGTAACACTGCCAGGTTGTATTCCGTCCTCTGGAGGATTAATCTATTTTCTGCTACAAATTGCCTGTGCTGGCTTTTCTTTTCCAGGCATGTAATGGTTGGAAATGCTATGAACTGTACAAAGGCAACTGAGTTGAAGAAACTGCTTATAAAAGGAAGATACCTTATCCATGTAATTCAAAGTGGCAGGTCCTAACACAGACCTCTGATGGGTTTTAGATTCATTCTACGGGGAGAGAGGACCTAAGCAGTGTGCAATGTACAGACTGCTCCTCTGGCTTTCTTCTCCAGCTGTACTCCAGAGCAAGTTCTTGGAAGTAATGGGCTTTCTAACCCATCTCCAAGACAGCACTGGTAATGTGAGGGAATGTTGTGTTCAGAACCCTATTTCCCTGAGTCTGCAACACTACAGCAGCTGGTGAAAGATGCTGGGCCAGGCACCCACAACATAGTTTACAGATTCCAGCATTTTTTAACATTATATGAACCAAATTGCCTTACTGCCCTAATTGCTTCAAGCCCCCAAAATCTGTGGGGTAACAGACGTGAATCAGTGCTGCTGTTCTGAGTCCTGCTGTTTTACACATGGTAAGAACAGCCTTGTGACATCTTAAGCGTCTAGGAATTTGGGGTGGTGTTGAAACTCCACAGTAAATCAAAAGCCTACCTTTTGCCTCTCAAATAGTGAACATTTTAGAAGGTATGCAAAGCAGTACAGACCCACAGATTAAAAGTTATTTTCTGACTCTGACACTGCACATTAAATCAGAGAAGATATAATAATTGAAGAACTCAGCATCACTGCCCTAGGGACATCCCATGTCAGGAAATTCAAATAAGGTTATTATGCTTTTAATATGCGTAGCAAAATTGAAAAGAGGGAAAAATTAAGTAGTCAGTCAACACTGCACAGTAATTTGATTTTTTTTTTTTTAAGGATAATAAATTTTATTTGTCAACTGCATAGAAAGCTAACCTAAACCTGCTTAAAATAGACTTTAGGCTTGATGCACAGGAGCTACGTTTTTGGTATATTTTATGCAGCGTACACATTTTCATCACAGTCACTTTTATACGTCTCACAATGTCACTTGCCTGTAGATATCTAGAAGTAATTACATACTAAAATCAGTCATAGAAATGAAGATGCTAATTTGTCTTCAGATTGGAAAGCAAATGTAATTATTTATGAAACAGAAAAATATTTTAGTGTGGAAAACTCAATAATAAAACTACACAGTATCCGTAAAGAAAAAATGTAACACAATTTCTTAGAGTATTTTCATTCAGTTATGAACCAGACCACTGAAGTATTACTTGTGTGAGGAGCGGCTAAGTGGCCAAAAATGTTCTTTAGTCTTTTGATGTGAGAACTGCTCTATGAGGGGGGGATAAAATTTAATCTAGCATTGTTTCACTAGAAAGTGTTTACTGTATTCTCTGTTCACATGAAGTGTTTTGAGTAGTTCTTATTGGATTCTCTGGCTCTCACAACAGGAACTTCAGGACTTGCAGGGAGCCTATGGATCTGGGCCAATTCTTCAATGTGATATACATGGCAATTAGTATATCCATATAGAGTATCCTAATTAACATGCAGACACATCCATATCAATGTTTTTAGTTTGGTGTGATAATTGGAGAAATGATCCTCTAAATCTTCAGCTGCTGCAGATGACATTACTCCTCACTTGCCACATGACAAGGAGGATCATTCTGCAGCCTGGTTTTGCACCGTGAAGAGAACTGACCTCTCCTTAGAGTTCAACACATGGGGGAAATTTCAAAAAATTAATGTCTAATTCTGCCTTTATTTTCATGTAGCTCTGTATTTACTCTAGCATAAATGAGAAGTCTTTGTAGAAGCATTTGATCTGACAGAACATTTTTCCCCATATAATTAATGGCATTTGGACAGGGCTGTGGGGACCTATTCCAAATGACCTAAGGGCCTAACTCTGCAAACAGTAATGCACATGCTTAATTTAATGTAGATGAGTAATATGTGAGATTCCTCATGCATGCTGTTTAAAGCATAAGCTTAATTACTTTTAGGACTACAGCCTGCACTGAAAATGGAGAAAAAATACACACTGTGTACTTATTTACTTAAAAAAGCCCCCAAAACTGTAAGCCAGGCTTATCTCTTATTTCTTCTTTTATTGAGAATGACTGGCTGGCCCCAGTCATTGCTGGAGGTTTTACTGCTGTGGACTTACCTCAGGAGCCGGAGCTCTGCAAGGAGGGTGGGATTTTGTTGTGCCTTCTCTGGTGTGGGCTGGGATGCTTGCTCATGTTCGAGTCGCAGCCTCTGGATCTCCTGTAGGATTTCTCTTGGGGAAGAGAATAAGCAGAAGACCACAGGTCAGTAATTTTCCACAAAACCAGCTCACTGGACATTGCAAGAGGAGAAAAAGTGTGACTATGTAGCTCTTCATCAACATGGATATAATGACTGGGCTCCAACCAGCAAAAGAAGCCCTCAGCACTGAGACAGGTCTCTGGTTTATTTTTTAAATAAACTTTCAGGGTTTCACTATGACAGGAAATATTTCTTCAAGACCCCGCAAAATCAGAGGTAGACGTGAAATAGCAATATCCTTAAATTGCTCCCTTCTACTTCTTCCCCCTGAACATTTAAAGGATCACATCAATTTCACAAAAAGTAAAATAATATCGGTCCCCTCTTGAGTATCAGAGAAAATATTTGGCACTTAAAAAAATACTTTTAATATAAGTAGAGATCTGAGAGAAGTCAACAATTCAAGCAGAAGCCCTTTAACAGGACTTGTTATGGCTGGCTTGCCAGCCCTGGAGCGCTGTCAAAAGGCTAATACAAAGCTTCACAGCAGAAGGTTGAAACCTTTGTGGATTTTTTCTCTTCTTCACAACGTGCTGGATAGCAAACGGTCAGGAGGCAGCCTCGAACTATGAAAGGCAAATCGAGAGTGGAGCTGGTGGCTCATTACATGGTGACAGAAGGCAGTGCCGAGTTTGGAATAGGAAACCATCTGGTCTGGGCTGGCCTCCGTTTTACAGTCCGGCAGTAAAGGCAGAGCTCTGCTGCCATACATTTCATGGCATCAGGCAGTCTGATACCCAGGGCCAGATCCTCTGCTCCTAACAAACAGGCGTCATTCCTTTTTGGGGCTGGCTGCCCTATTTTGCCTGGACACTGTCTCTCAGTCTCGGTCCCATTTGTACCTACTGTCTCATTTGATCAGCAGCCTAACTTGCTGCTAACCTTTCTGCAAACCTGTCGCAAGCAGACTGTGTTCTGGAGAGCTTTAATCATCTTTTTCACAAATAAAAGGAGGGGAGCATAACATTACCAGTGTGACTGACTGATCCTTTCATTTCATGTTTTAGTGCTATAGAGGATCCAGCTCAAAGTTAATCTGGTTTTGAAACAGGACAGTTTTTTTTTTTTTTTAAACTCTTAACAAACAGCAGCTGCAAACAGTAAAGTATCAATGGTTATATCACGTCATTGAACAGCACACCCATTAAAACACAGGCTGGCTGTGGATTTCAGTCTTTGTCATATTCTGTGGACCTTTTTGTGCCTTGTGCTTTTTGTAGGGGGAGGTGTATGTGCATGTATAAACATACTGCAGAGAAGTAGGTGGTAAAAATGTAGGTGGTAAAAAAAACAAACATACACAATATATGGGACTGAACAAAACCAGGTACTTTGCGAATGCTTACCGGTTTTTATTTTCAAGTTCAGCAATCAGCTGCCTTTGTTGCTTGTTTGCATCAATGGTGAAGGAGATATCTGATGCCCCTCTCTGCTGACCCTGTTGCTGTTGTAAGAGAGAAGGCTGCATTGAAGGAGGAATAGCCAACATGTCCAACACAGATCTGCTCACAGAAAATGCAGTACCAGGCTTGCCTACACTAAAAAAAGACTATCCATGTTGCGCTCATACCAGTACGGCTCCATTTCTAGTAAAAGCAGGGTAAGTGCTAGAGTAAATAAGACTCAGTGTTTACCATCCTGTCATTCATTGCTTCAAGGAGCTTCCTCTGAACCAATTGTAAAAGGCAATGGCATTGCTGCAGGCAGTTGCTGTAATATGGCTGTTAATTTTGATACTAGAGACAAGAGAAATATACTGAAGCGAAAAACAGCGTTCTTCTCCAAAAAGAAGAGGCTGTGTTTCCAGTGCAGTGATGCTTCCTTCTCTTGAAAGTGTGGTTTTGCTTTCGGTCTGAAAGCTGTACTCAGTTTTCAGTCTGGCTGTGTGGCCCATTTGGCCAATTTTTCCTATACGCTCTGGTGATACTTCAGGAAAGCTCTTTCCCCAGTCCTTCAGGTTCAGCCGAACCTTTTTTCCCCCAATAAAATTAAGTGGTAATTAAACTATTTCTTACCAAATGAGGCAGTGCTCACTACAGCTTCATCGGACTATGCTCTTTTTTCATGTTCATTGGCAATAACCAAATATTGGCTTGTTTGTTGACATTCCTGTATTTCAGTGTTGTATCAATGACAATGCAGAGCAAGACATTTAAAGTTTCACAGCTATCAAAGGTATCAATTTATTTCTAACTCCAACCTGAAAGAACCGGACATTAAAAGGACTCTGCTAAGCTCCTGCTGTGATCTGAGCGTTTCTCACCATAAGAGCCCTATGAAGTGTAACTCTGGAGCCCAATTTTATGTGATGCCAGCCACGTCCTCCTCCAGGAGGTGGCACCTTGCAGGAATGGACCCTCAGCAAGGATGAAGCTACATCTCATAACAAAGGCTAGCACTGTCTGTGGGGAAAGGACGCTACGCTATGCCTGTAACCATTTACTGTTTTTTCTGCTATGGGTACGCTCCAACCATACGGAAGCGGAGGAGTGCATAAAGAACTGACACATGCTGGTGGGTGTCATGACCGATACAGAGGGAAACAGGATCTTTATCCTGAATGCTCAGTGTTATTAATACATTTTGTTCCTTAAAAAACAGAATGGCCATCAGCAAAACTTTAAAAACTTCCACTGTGCTCCTAACGTGGTGCCACTCTTGTGCTCGGAAAGATTTCTGTGTACAGATTCCTTCTGTCTCCTTTGTTCAAAAAGCACAATTGCAAATTGCACAATGGCAAAGAGAATTTCAGTATTTTCCTTCAAACCAGCTCTGTTTAAAAGTTACTTAAATACTGTTTCTTAAGTTTCCCCCATATCACAGACACATGTTATATACAACTGATTTCTACCAGTTTCTACCCAGACACATTACTAATGGGAAATCTTGGTCCCATAAAGAATTACCATCCTTCAGAAACAGGACATTAACCTACAGGTTGCCTTAAATTTGAAACACTGTTGTCACACCTCTGGAAGGGACTGATCTGAGCTGGGCTGGCAGACCGGGAGCACCCGTGCACCCTTCTCTTCCCCTGTACTGTGAAATCTTCCACGACAGGCGGCTGCACGGGGCGGCAGATTCGTCTTCCCGGGATGAACGTGACTCAATGTTTTTACACCAAGAGTGGTGCCTGATTTCGCCCTTTCAATTGACCTCGCATTGTAAATCTCGGTGTGAAAATATGCTTCCGGGCACTCCAGGCAGGCTGCTTTTCACTTAACCATCATTTATGGTCCCTTGTTCTATCAAATGTGCTGAGATGGGAAAAAAGTAACCAGGCTGACCTTATTTCTGCCATTTAAGATTTTATATACTTCAATTAGGTTCCTGCTTCATTCTCTCTTATTCCTGAATATAGTTAGTGAGGTTTTAGCCTGTCATCACCTTCTATCTTGGGATACATAGAGCATAATAATCATTGCTCTGAAATGAAAATGGGAGCCAGGGCTAATGCAG